GCGATTATTGATCTGTGTTGTATCTATACATATTATAATGTCATTGCGTATTGTATGCCGATCAGTGATAATGTGCAAGGATGTGATGCATACATGAATACCAAGTATTAAAGTGAAGTAATCAGTCTCAAGATAGTCTCGTGAAGATTGAATTTTTTTTCTCGTGAAGATTGAATTTTTTTTTCCAAATGTAATTAGAATGTAGGATTCCATTCATCTTTAATATTGTGCAAAGTATTATGCATTTCTGATAAGAGTCATTAATGTGCTTTTCATCTTCTAATGAAATAGATTTATTATATCCAGATTTGTCGATAACTAAGTCCTAGAGATTTACAAGCCTGCTTCATTAAATTCTCGTCTTATAAATTAATTGTTAAGAAATTTCTTTGTTTTTGCACTGAATTCTTATGCTAATTTTTTTATCGAAGGATTTGTGGTTTTTGCATGTTCGCTTCAGAATATATAATGTATAGTCACTTTTGTTCTCTCAGTTAATGCCTATGAATAGAGTTTTATTTTCATTATCTGAACTGTGTTTGCTTCTTACATTTGATCAAGGAATTTAAAAGAAAAACATAAGAGTTTGTTGCAATTCATTATTTAAAAATTGTTATCTGATCCAATATTTAATTACATTTCTTTGGCAAGAAAGTGAAGTAGTAGTTGTTTCTTTGAGTATATGACAATAATAATTATGTGTTTATGAAGGAGAATAATTGAACTAAAAATCTCAAATGGTTTAGATCCAAAAATGTTTAATAGAATTTTCAAATTTAGTACCAAATGTGTGAATCGGACAAGGATTAATCAGGCTGTTTTGACAAAGTGAATTTACCCTTTCATGCATGTGTGATAAGCTAAAATTGTTTAAGGGACTAAATATCATAGTAACTCAAAGTAAGAAAGCGTGAATTTTGTCAAATTTAAAACAAATTTGGAAATAATTTCATGAAAATTATTTTTTGTCCTCTGTAACTTCAAAGATTTTAAAAAATTAAACTAAAATAAAATTTAAAAAAATAAAAAATATCCGATCGCAGTGAGTATCGAAACTCAAGAAGAAAATCTAATTTTTTTGAGGTCAGGACAAAAAGCCAGCTGATTAATCTCTAAATTTTGTCAACTTTTAATTATTAATTAAAAATATTGCAGAGTGCGTGCATGCACACACACATACATGCATACCTTACTCATAGTCATGAGTGTGACCACAGGATAATCACCTTTAGCAGTTTCACCGCTTAACATAACACAGTCACTTCCATCAAGTACTGCATTGGCCACATCACTACCTGATTAACTCTTACTTCAAATCTTATTTGTTATTAAATTCATATTTTAAGCAGTTAGGTTGTTTTGGTAATTTGTAAGCAATTCATTGAATTTTTGAATGATTGTATATTACACTTCGTAAATATCGTACCATTTCGACGTATTTATTTCACTTGTAATTTGTCTTGTTTGATGCTTAGAATTAGTCTTTAATTTGTAACAAACTCAACTTTGTGATTAAAACACATCAAAAGACTTAAATTTTTGTTTGGCCTTACCTTCAGCTCGAGTAGGCCTTGGCTTTTTTGTCATAGACTCAAGCATCTGAGTAGCACAAATTACTGGTTTTCCAGCTACATTAGATCGCGCAATTAGCATTTTTTGGGCTAATGTTACTTTTTCAGGAGGGATTTCTATACCTAAATCTCCACGAGCAATCATCAGACCATTTGCCTCTCGAATGATCTCATTAGCGCTGAAATGTATACTAGAAATATTCTGTGCTTGAAATTATCTTTATTCATTGCTTCGTTACGATTACTTTCAAAAAAATACAAAAATTTACTAAATTTATTGTGACGTGCTGTGAAGGAAATGTATTACTTATTGTAATCCAATTAACTTTGATAAACAGAAACGATTGGCTTACTTTTCCACTCCTTCCTCGTTTTCAATCTTCGCGATGATTTTAATAAAGCGTCCTTTCTCACTGAGCACTCGTCGGATTGCACGTACGTCTTCAGCCTTTCGAATGAATGACGCAAAGATCATATCAACATTCTATAACAGTTAATCAGTTATTAAAACTGATTATAATGATCAAGTGAAGTTGTATTAATTAATATTGTTATGATGTTTGCATCTAAATTTACCAAATTCCACTGAATAATTAATACCTGTTCTACACCGAATAAAAGATCTTGAACATCACGATCAGAAACCGCTGGAAGGTCGCATTTGGTTCCTGGCAGGTTCACACCTTTCTGACTGCCTAATTTACCTCCGTTCTCTACCGTACATGTCATATTGCAACCATCTGCATATAACAACAACATTATCTTATTAATTTTCACATAAATACCGCCTGTAATATTCCGTTTTCGAATAGTAACTATGCAATTAAATATCATTAAATAATTAATAATTTAACAATTAAAAATTTATAAAATTTTACCGATACTATCAACTGATACAGAAATTAGACCATCATCGAAGTATACGTGACTACCAACTTTCAAGACTTTTGGCATATTTTTATAGTCAACATATAACTTTTCAGCTGTACAATTCACAGCAAAGACATCATCAGTTGTTAATATTATCTTTGCACCTTTCTTAAGTTCTACCTCTGCTGTGCCAGACTGCAAAAGTTATTCAAATTAACGAAAAATTTATATCATTTTGTTTTATATCATTTAATACCATGCGAATTGATTATTATTAATTATACATATATATATATATAATTAATAAATGATATTTATGCTATGGTTGTCCCTTTAAGTAGCAAATATTTAATCTTGAACAAAGATATTAAATATAAAAAAAGTATATACTCCATTGATAAGTCCTGTACGAATTTCGGGTCCTTTGGTGTCGAGAGCAATAGCTACCACTGGTTTTGGTGAAAAACTTTGCAATGCTTCATGTATATTTTTGATTGTCTTTGCATGAAACTGTACAAAGTTGCATTTATATTTTTTTAATTTGCTTTTCATGTATTACACATCCAAAAAACTGTACAAAAATTTAAATTTACGTTGCAGATGAATGAAAGTGCTTGAATATATATGCGGTGTAAAATCATTTTTTGAGTGAATTACAATTCTGGCATACAGAAGAGAGTACAGCAAGTATGAAGTAGAAACCTCATGAGATCCATGGCTAAAATTTAGTCGAGCAATGTTCATGCCAGCTTCTATCATTTCTTTTAGTTTTTCTACACTTTGACATGATGGCCCTGAGATTTTGTTTTTAAATCCAAACATCATATAATATTGAGTAGATATTTACGCATTTATAAGTAAAGGCAAAGAAACTAACTATTCATATGATAATCATTAGTAGTATTTTAACAACACTTTGGAAAATTTTATTACTGCAGTTGTTGCTAGTATTACTTTATCATTGATATTGTACTTATTAATCAGTTAAAATTGATTTGAAATTAATACTAAGATGATTAATACTCCCCAATTTAAAACTTAGAAGTATTTGTCAAAAACCTACGTGTTTTACTTACCAATAGTACATATAATTGATGTCTTGCGTTGAACGTGTGGAGGATTGCTAATACTTATTTTGCATTTGTGGCCGAGATCTGTGGATTCATCCTTGGATTGGTTTGAATTTTCTGACCTATTTAAGTTTAATTTATTTTTAATGTGAGAAACTTTTATGAATCTAATTGCTTTATTCAAGAAATTGCAAATAATTTTCAGTAATTCATTTCGTATATTGAAACACAAACATGATTGTATAAGCCTAAAATTCATTGCAGACTGTAGCTTTAAAAAATTTTTAATTTAAAAAATTATCTCAGAATATTGAGCATTTTTAAACTATTCTACAGATCTTTACCTCTGACTGGACTAGATTTTATGACATGTCTTAGATACAAGCTTTGATGAAATTAATAATTTAACCAGTTAGAATATGCATGAACAAAATCTTTGCTTAAATTTATTATTTATATATTTTCATTTGCGCAACTAAAAAGAATTGTTCAGCTGAAATAGCTGCTTGCGTTTTTTTAGCGATTCATTCATAGCACTTCCGAATTCTGTTTTATTAATATTCGTTTACTAAAAGACCGTAAAAAATTTGAAATAATTTCTGT